AAAACATTGCTCTCACTATGACCTCAACACTAGAAACAGGCATAAAGGACACAACGTTGGTCTGCAGTGGAGTAATGTGTTGTTTGCGAACAAACTACTTACTTGTGCCATCAGGGAGATGGAATCTTCAGCCAGTTCTGCTGAGAATCCATGCAGGCAGAGAATGTAGTTTGATGGGCGCACCATGTTGTCAGTCACATGCAGACAGACTAGGATCATACTATAACGTAAAAGAAGGAAGGGGGGAATGATGCTCCGAGGAAAGCGAATGTTGTGGTACAGGAGTGTTGATAAAAAGTGAATAAATGAGGAAAAAAAGAAAACGGTGCAGCATCTGATTTAAATGGTAAATGGTCTGTATTTGTATAGCGCTTTACTAGTCCCTAAGGACCCCAAAGCGCTTTACATATTCACACACACATTCACACACTGGTGATGGCAGCTACATTGTAGCCACAGCCACCCTGGGGCCCACAGACAGAGGCGAGGCTGCCGGCAGCTGTGATGTATGAGACTGCAAAGCTGAGTCCAGAACTGTAAAATGAGGAGCTAGCTAAAAAGAAGTCCACACTTTCATTTTACCTGTTTTCCCGATGCAAAGGATAAAAGACTTTTATCCAGGCCTTAAATCCTCCCTAGTAGCACATGCATAAAAGGCTGTAACTCTTCACTGTAGATAATCTCCCCACGTGGCCCACAGCTCAGCGAGAGGAAGGCTCAGTGCACCTGTCTACATAATCTTAATAAATGTAAAATGTGTTTTGTCTCATTCCTCTTCCGTGAATACTTTATTTGGTTACTTTGTTTACTCCAGTTTAATATTTCTGCACCTTTTGTTAACTTTGCTTCCTTCATTTGACGTGGTAGTACGGAGGTACATTTATCTTACTTTCTGTCTTAACGAAACCTTGAGAGCTTCTAGGTAAAGCAAAGATAAGATAACAGGAATAGTTTCTTTTCAGTTTTTTTATTATTTGAGTGTAAGAAGTGGTTTTTTTGTGAAGTATCTTTCTGAATTTGATGGTGTGATGGGGTGACTGCTTAATGAATGAGTGGTTGAAAAGTTCACATTTTGTATGATTACAAATTTCCCCATCGTGGGATCAATGAACTCTAATCTTACATCTCATAATATATAAACAAAACCATTAATAATGGTTGAAAAAATATCAAGCAGGTTTCATAATAAATAATATGAGTGTGCAGAATCAAATTTCTTTCTCTGTATCATAAAGCATGTGGTTCCTCAGCTCCTCTCAAAATAGGAAGGTGTAACTCTTTTCATCTATGTGCCAGGAAGTTTTCAGATATGACACCATTGGTAGATGTTTGTCAGTCTTTATGATCACACTTCCTTTCCAAATATGTTGTATGAGTCGGTTAGTGGTTTGTGGTTATCAAACCTGGTACATGCACAAAACGAGAATAAAAATACAACTTAAATTACTAAAGATTCCACAAACAATAAAAATAAAGAAATTCAAAACCTACAAATATGTGGAAAGACAGAAAAGAGATACAAAATGACTTCACAGACAACCCTGCTAAGAGGTGCAAAGCTACGACAGACAGAAAACAACCATGGACATATTCAAAAAAGACAAAGAACACGCACAATGTTGTGATGTGGTTTTAAATGTGTAAATAAAAATGGCCCAAAGCTTTTTAATACACCCTAAAATTGTTCCACATCATTCTCCGAGAGCCAGAGCAGAGCTGTGCAGAGATGATTTTCAAAGTTAAAATTGGGCACATGGAACCAGACTGGATAACAGCAAACCGCATTCATCACGAATGTTATACTGAATCACATCGTGCTATATCACCATCATCAGGCGGCGATGATTGCAAAGCAAATGTAGGCTATATTTTGCCTGATGGTTACAATGTTGCTGCTGGGGGGTTGCTGCTGCTGCTGAGAGTGCTGAAGGATCATTTTAGTGAAATATAAGTCCTCCAGAAAGGCAGGAAAAATCCCTGGAAC